CGCACAGGTAGATTTTTACCTGAGATAACTGGAGTAAAGCTTAGATAGAGAGTGCGTTCGATACAAGCAAGACAAATTGAATGCCATTTAACCCTCTAATTAAGAGGTAAAGGAAGTTCCTGTTAGATGGATGATTAAGATAGGACTTGTAAAGGTAACGGGCATTGTTTACCTCAGTTTAATAAAAGTATGCAAGACGGAGTGTCAGCGGTTTAATAAAATTAATTGAATTTCACAAATAACATGGACCTTATATGCAATAATCAACATTTCCCTTTACTCATTGAAATGCAGTGTTTTATACAACTTGGGATAACCATAATGAAATGCTTGTTAAAGAAATGACTAGACGGGAAATGGTTTTACACAGCTTCACGAGGATTTAGACCCCTCGGGTAAGAGATTTGTATGAGTAAAAACTTTTATCAGAAGCCAGAGAAGTCATCTTACAGGTAGACAATGCAGCTCAGTTTGACAGCTAAGCACGCTCTGTTTTCCAGTGGCTCGATTGTCGTCATCGGACCACGTGACCACGTAGCTCATTAACTCCCAGGCCGAGCAAATAGGACGTTTTTTAAAGCCAAAAATTTACAAAATGAGCTTTTAATTTGTGTATTTGGATAAAGATATCGTTAGTTGGGCATGTTTTCTGAAGAATATGTTCCGTTGAAGCCATTCTGACGGTATGAAGCAAATCCTTTAACTTCTCTTTGGCCTGAGATGTATAAAACCTGATATCTGCAACCTTCGCTGGCTCTATATTTTCTACAAAGCAGTTGTTCCACTGACACGCTGTATCTGTACATGCTGTAGCTGTGATTTCAAGCCTGACTGCTGCCTCTATCTTAAACAGGAGAGCTCCAGCATGGTAACATGTCTACCCTAAGCTGAAAAGTACAAATGAAATTCATGAGAGATGCCAAAGCAGCCAATTACATACAATAATAGTATCTTACTCCAATGCAAGTTGATAATTAATATCTAGCTTTCTAGCATATAATTCACTCAATTTCTATCTAAATATGTATAGCAGTCTTTATTGAACTTACAGTGTTTTTTTTCTCTCAATGCAGCAAGTCACACTTTACATTTAGGATGATCACAATCCTAATGATATTTTATTTGTACATTAAGAAATTTGTATTGAACCAATATAACCAATATACGTAAATGTATGAAATAAAGATCATTGGTACTAGTATATGACCAGCAATTGTCCAAAGATTGTCACTCCAGCAAGTACTGTGAAGACATGAATTATGAAAATTTAAGTAATGACTTACCCAGCCATGCAGTCACAGTGGGCTGTAATAACAGCTCCAGTGCTTTTCACAGCCACCCAGGGATGATGAGGAGTTTTTGTAACTCTGTATGATGGCCTTACATCAGCTTTAAATATGAAATTTCCACTCTTTGTCACAAGATGGTACACTGTCTGGACCCAACCAGATGTGAAAAAGGTGTGTGCTTCCAGAGAACGGTAGTTGACCATGGCTTCTAGTGAGTACAACCCTGAAAGAAATTCCAAAATTTGTCAGTTTTTAAGGACAGGTTATTTAATGCTGTTTTATGAAAAGACACACACTCACTAATATACAAGTGCACAGGTTATTTGCAATCTGCCTCTGTGTTGCAGATTAATCTTGATGCAACAAAAAATACGTCTACATGTAGTCACCAACAACAAAGGGACAGCCAATAAATTTAAAAGTACTAACTAACTATACAAGTGCCTAATATCACTGATCAGGCAAGAGGATTACTTACTTTATAAATACTACTTAGGAATGTATAATTTAATTAAGCACTGTTCTATCTTTCTCCTCATCAGTTCTTTCTTACGATAGGTTGAATTAAAATGTATAGACAGTATTATTAATGCTTCACACGTTTGTTCATTCATCTCACTAAAACGCAGGCATGTTAACAGTCTCATTATTCAACTAATAAGATACATAAAAGTGTTTGTTTGACATTTCTTGCATCTTTATAACAGTTGATTAAGTAAAAAAGTTGGTAAACTTGTTATCGTGTATTGTGTAATAAAGTGTCAAAAATGGAAATAAACTCATATCATTGCAGATTGTCAGATTCAATCATCCACTATGTTCAGAATCTCAGAATGGAGGAAATTGGACATTTAACACTGTTCTATTGATATTTTTCCCATTTCATCAATTTTATTAGTTGATCTAATAAAAATGGCAGTAAAACGTTTATTTTGTTTTATGTTAAAAATGTGTTAAAAATGGAAATAAACCCATTGCAGAACAGTGCTGTCTTGTTTACATTTTGGCATTTTCAAGGTGTGACTTTGAAGTTCCATGTGCCTGAAGCCTTATGCTTGTTACACATTTTATATACATTGGTATTACCTGTTGAGCATAATTAAAATTTGATGTTGAATTTGCAGTTAAGCATAATGTACTTTTGCACCAGATTTGACAGTAGCCTATTTTGTGCATTGTTATTTCCTGCTTTTTGTCTGTACATTTGACAGCTTTGCTGCCTTGTTTTTAAAGAGCCTTTATGTCACGTCTCCATTGCAGTACAAAGCGAGATAGCGCCTAACGACCGATGTAGCCCCCACGTGCACGCGGTTGTTTGTTAGGGACTATTTCTGGTTGTGACGTCATTCTGAGGGATAGAAAAGTTGCAAAGTTCAGTTCATGGTGAAAAGTAGATCAAAGGTCAATTTGAAGGTTACAGTAAGATTGCCAGTATATATCTTTCTATTCAAGTTCAGTACGTAGTAACTATGAAAGTATCCCTGCCAGTTTTGGAGATATAAGGGATAGAAAAGTTGCAAAGTTCAGTTCAAGGTGAAAAGGAGGCCGAAGGTCAATTTTAAGGTCACAGTTAGAATGCCAGTATATGACTTCCTATTTTAGGTCAATATTAACTTTGGTTGTATCTCTGCCAGTTTTGGAGATATAAATAAAGAAAAAATGCTGCAAAGTTCAGTTCGTGTTGAAAAGTAAAAGGTCAATTTCAAGGTCACATTTAGATTTCCAGTATATGACTTCCAATTCAACTTCAATAGTAACTATCCCAGTGGGCAAAATATGTTGTTTTAACATTGAAACAATGTTGAACCATAACGTTGATAAGACGTTGGATAAACATATTGGATTTGAAAGTTGACTCAACCTCAGATAACAATTAACGTTGTATATCAACGTCAGATAACAACATTGTATCAACCCCAGTTGTTAGACAACATTCTTGCATGAAAAGACATTGAAATGACATGAGGGTAGGGTATAAAAGTATGGCCTTTAAGTTAAAATTTGACCTGTTCCTTCAGTGTTATATTTTCAGTTCTGAGTGTCGCTTCAATTAAATAACTCCTGTCATACACTGGATTTCAGTCTCCTGATGTTCAGATCCTGTCTCCTCAGCCGGTCACAAAGATGTAGGAATATTTTTTGCTGCTTCTACCTTGTGTGTCATCTAGCTGCCTTTTGTACCTGTCATCAAAAACTTCGTTTTTTATATATATATATATATATATATATATAATTTACTTGCACCCAATCAGTGTGGCTTGGTGGGAAAATGCCTGATCAATTTCCTAAATGTAAATTAATAGAAGATAATAATAGTGATTTTTATTCATATTGTAACTTACAACATTACAGTTGAAAGGAGCAGAATTTAACATTTTTACAGAGGAAAGTGCAAATTCATTTCATGAGGTTGTATGTCAATTACATCTGAGGTAGAATTTACTTGCAAAATAAAATTACTCTTAACACAACACCAAATCGAAAATTAATCAACTAACTTCCAAATACACTTCATACAGGTAATTGATTTAATTGGCCCAGCTCAGCTGTGTACAGTACAAATGTAGCCTTGACACTAATTGACAATAATGCTAACCAGGTATTAAAGAGGCAGGTGACAGCCAATAAAATCCGGAGAGCACTGTAATTGATAACAAATTACACCCAAGGCAATAGGTGAGTCTTCATTATAAAAGTCGAAACCCTGCCTGGGTATTTTCACACGTTTTAACAAATTAACACACTCTCCACCCAAACTTTTTGGGCACTACTTTAAATATATATATGCAGTGTACATGCGCCCCAAACGTACACACCTAGGTCTTTGGTTTTCTACTGTTTTTTCTTTTATGGTAAAATCTGCACAGCTGGGTCTTCATTCTTTGCTATAAAATAAATAAGTTTTATCCTTTACTTGTCCGATGAGACTTGATTCAAAGCCAACTTGCCGTCTCTCCTCCCTTTAGGGTTTTTGTTCCTTCACCATGGATTGTTACCACTGCAGGCAGTCTGTGAACACTTGTAAAGTTATAGTTATCTTCTCTCGATCAAATACCCTGCAGTGATTCATCATTTTGCTCGGTTAAATATCAAAGAAAATACAGAAAACGAAATCTGAACTACAGACATGGCTTGTTCATGCGCAGCAGACGATTCCAGTTTCCCTCCAGTATGGCTGCTGTTTGTTTTGATGACACAGGCTCTAATGGGTCAATACTTCCCTTTTAGCCAACAAAGAAACAAGGATACAGAATGCAATCACTGTTTAGTCTCTTCATTTCTTATAAGACTGTGATCAGTTGCTCATCAAAATGTTTCTACAAATGCAGTTGAATCTCAAGAAAAACATACGTTTCATTTAATTTTTGGTTTGTGGTTTATTAAATATTATCTATATAATTTTATCTGTCTCTTACTGTGTTACTTGAACAAATGGATATTTGTTGAATAATTGTTTAATTCAGGTGATCCTAAAGAGTAGACAACATACGGAACCTGGCATGACAAGACTGGAACGGACAGACTTTGCTGTGAATATCTATAGTTGGTAGGTCATTGAAACACTCTCAAAGTGTACTAAAAAGTCAAGTACCTTTAATTTGTGATAAAGAAGTTACTAGAGAGTTTTTTCAGCCCACAAGAACTGTCAGCAACAGTTTCTTTTGTGAAGGATTCTCTAGTTGAAAGAGCTGTGCACAGTAAGACCCCATTCCCAGAGATTAGATTGATCCAAACTAGATCGACCTAACTCCCTGGGGGTTCACGCTAAATAGATGTCAGCCGAGTGGGCACGAAAGTTAATTACCCCCTTACAGCTTGTAGTAGGCGGGACGGACATTAAAGCTGGATTATCTGACAGTAATCGAGTGAGACTCGATCCCCACTGGGATAGATCAATCTAAATGTCTGGGAATATGCCCTAAGTTTCAAAAGAGAACAAAACTAACTGCAAGGTGATTATATCAGTTATGAATAAGTGAATAAGTGAATGCAGCTATAAGCCTTCAGATTTCAACATCATGGGGATGTGTGAGGAATGTATATAAAGTATTTTTTAAAGCAGTTTTAGCACTGTTTTTTCTTAAATATCCAAGACATTTTTTCTGCCTACCTTTCTACCTTTTTTTATATGAACAATATAAACACTTGAACTTGATTTTAGGACTTATCAAACAGTTATATGTATATTGACATGATGTTTTTTGTGGATGTTTAAGATTTGGATGTTTAGCATTGTGCACAGTGTGGTGAATTTGTAGGACTTTACGGTATACTCTTTTTTTTAGATAGACGGAGCAGGACAGGATGAGTAAAGAAGAGAAATGTGGACATGGCTTGGATTTTACTGATTTTGTTCAATTTTTTAATTTGATTAATAAAGCACAATATATGACTGTAATTTCTTGTTTGTTGTTGATAAACAGATTTAACAATATTTCTGTTCAGTGATAGTACAGCTTCTAAAGGATAATTTTAACTTTTTTAATGTGCTTAATAAAATTTTAAGATGCTGGCACATGTCTTCAAATGTAACTCAAAACCTGCCTTTGTAGAATTAATATAAACTGACTGAAAAACAAGTGAGTAAAATTTAAATTGTGTTATAAAATATTTAAATTAGTGTGCAGGAAGCATACAAGAAGGTATGCAAAAAGTACACAGCAGGTGTGCAAGAAGTACGCAGGAGGTGTGCAAAAAGTATGCAGAAGGTGTGCAAGAAGTACATAGGAGGTGTGCAAGAAGTGAGCAGGAGGTGTGCAAATAGTATGCAGAAGGTGTGCAAGAAATATGCAGAAGGTGTACAAGAATTAAGTGTGCTGGTTGTGGTGTTGGGGGTGTGCAGGAAGTGTACAGGAGATGTGCAAGGAGTGTGCAGAAGGTGCATATTTTACCATGAAAATGAGGCGTGCTGCGCATGCGCAGAAACCCTTACTGTGAATGTGCTGCGCATACACTAAGGGCGCATTCCCATAGATTTTAGATCGATCTATCCCCTTGGGGAGTCTCACTAGATTACTGTCAGATAATCCAGATTAAATGTCCCTCCCGCCTACTACAAGCTGTAAGGGGGTAATTAACTTCCGTGCGCAGTCGGCTGACTGCAATTTAGCGTGAACCCCCAGGGTGTTAGGTCGATCTAAATCTCTGGTAATGCCCTGTTAAACAGTGTGCGGGAAGCTTAAAATTTTGCTAAGGGAAGTGTATGAAATAATTAATGTTGTCATCTTTTTGTGTAATTGTATTTATCAGCACCTTTGCAATTTGAATGGGAATTACTATTTGATATGTCACCATTTAGGGTCTGGGGGAGCCAGATAGCAACCATGTTTCACTGGCTCCTTACTGGGTTATATTACAAATTAAAGTAACTGATTGCAAATTAAGATATGGGCAGATATTGAATGACCATGAAATCTTGTTTTAAAAATTCACCTATGTGGCGTCATTGGCATATCAGTAACTACAGAAATTGAACCTCTTTACCAAGTACTAACTGATAAAGAGGGGTCAAAATGAAGGCCAGTATAATGAATGTATAAGTGATTGGGTGTTGCAATTTAATTATCCAATTGTATCATATTAAGTTGCTCTTTCCAGACTGATGGAAACAGAAAATTTAGGTCTAACATTTGCCTAATTAGTTTTTGTTTATTTTCATTATTCACAGTTTGGCATATTTAAGTTGTGATTTAATTTGCATTTACATGGGCCTCAAGTCCTGTGCTGATGTAACTACATTTTCTAATATCCACAACACATTTACTTAATTTCATTTATTAGAAACAGGTTATCATGTTGTTGTTAAACATTGGGTAACAATACAATCTGAATGATGATGATGATGAAATAAACATTGATACATTGTACTGTTATGGTTCCTAATGATGAATATTGCAGCTTTCAGTAACTAGGGTTACAGACAAATACTATCGGTCAAGCTTCTAGTGACCCCAACCCTCTGCCAGCAGTTGTCCATTAAAAAGCACTAGCTCTCACTAGTGTAGTGTAAACAAGCTTGACAGCAGTGATCCTTTTGATCACTTCCCAGCAGACACACATTGTATATATTTCAGCACACTTAGAAATAAAGTTAGTTGTTGTAGTTAAGTTTTTCTTGGAGTTGTTCTATGCGATTCTCCTCTCACACTGGTGTTATAATTAACATCTATATTGAAGAACACAGAAACTATTTCATGGTGTCAGAAGTACGTGACTGTGTTTAATAACAATACAGTGAGCCAACGCTGATAACCAGTTGATTAGAAGACTTTCCACATGGAGCTGGGAGCTTTACTAGTACCTGCCATGAACTGGCATGCTACCGATGCAGTTCAGGAGTACAAGAAGTTCAAACAGATATGCGAGTTATAATTTGACGATCCACTAAAGAACAAATCTAAGTCTGAAAAGATTGCGTACCTCCAGATATAGGCTGGAGAGACTGGATGAGACCTAGTAAGCACATGGAACTTGACTGCCATGGGGATGAATCTAAGGAATTAAAAACCTACTTTGACAAATTTGAAGAATTTGTTAAGCCTAAAAGCAATTTTAGACTAGCCAGATTTAATCTGTGGACCCTTACGCAAGGTAATGGGGAAACTGTAGATCAATTCTTTAAGTGAATTTGTTCTCTGGTCAGCGAGTGCAAGTTTACCTAACCAGATGAACAAATACTTGACACGATCATTTTTGGATGCAAATCAGCCCGCACACAGTCCAAATTACTGGAATTGGGTGAAACTCTGTCATTGGACAAGGCGATCGACATTGCAAGAACTCAGGAAGCAACCTCGCAGCAACTCACAGACATCAGTCCACACGCCCAGGTCCATGCAGTCAAGCACAACAAACCATTTCGCCCTAAACCTACATTTAAAGGGACACATAAGAAGAGAGAAACTTCTACCATGGCCTCAAAGTGCCACCCCACAATGGATAATCAGTGCAATAGCTGTGGAACAAAACATGATAGTAGTAAAAGAAAGCACAGGCCCAGCATACGGGTCCACATGCTTTGCCTGTGGGAAACTTAACCACTGGAGGAAGTGCTGCCGCTCCGAGCACAAGCAGTCCACAATTCATCGTGGAAACAGGCCACACAGACACATCGTCACCCTCAAGCAGCAAATGCATAGAGTGCATGCCTGCCGCGAAGACGACTGTGAGCCACAAGAGAGCAATGAGCTATATTTAAGCCCAATAAACATGGGCAGCATTGAAAGCAAGTGTGCTTTCATTAACCTGAAAATCAGCTCTGAGCAAAATAGTATGACTTTTCCGTGAAAAGTTGATACTGGCGCGCAGCTCAGCGTCATTGCGCCGTTTCTCAGCAAAGCAAACGCGGAATTACAAGCTGCATGAAATTAATATTTCTGCAGTGTTTTAAGTTTTTTGAGTGTTTAAGCATGTCTGCTGACATACTGTTAATACAGTGATCAGTGGTTAAACACCCATTTATGCAATTTATCGCAATAAATGCACGAATTCGTGCTAGCTACTGTACTCGTGTGTTGGGAGTAGCGTTTACAGGCTGTTACAGGCACTGTTCTGTGGCTGCATCTGCGCACATTGTTACTGCGCTTCAATTAATATGCGCAAAAGTGTACTGCGCAGTAAAAGTATATTAAGCGTGGTAAAAGTTTTATACAGTGACACCGACAAACATGGCGGATAAAAATTCCAAATGTAATAATCAGCCCGAAAATTCGGGTTCAAAAAGTAGTAAGGTTATCGTTAGAGAGTCAAAACCAAAACAAAAAAACTGACAAGGAACTTATCAGAGACGTTTGTTCACCGGACTCCCCCATTACTGATTGGTTATTTGGCGATGATTTTGCCGGGGTTGTGAAAGGTATCAATGAAACCAACAAGGTAGCCACAAAAGTGGGAAACCGTAAAGATTACTATGGGCGTAATCGCGCAGCATATAGGCCAAGAGGTTTTCAAAAGTACACACCTTCAAAAAACGGCTACAGAAATTTCAAGAAATCAAGGCCAAATCACGCATGGAATCCAAGCGGGATTAGAGAGAAAAAATGAAGCACCTAAAGAGGTCACTATTAATTGGTCATTATATATTGATGCTTTAAAAGATAAATTGGCCACTGAGATAGCAAATTTTACTGCAGCTAGTTTACAAAAGTGCAGAAAGTTTTGGCCAAATCTTACATCAGATAAGTATATACTGAATACTGTTTCATATGGTATCAGTGTTGAAATAGACGAATCAACAGAACAATCAAGAATTCCTCAGACTTATGCTTTCAATAAAGCAGAATCTGATATAATTCGTACTGAAATCCATCAACTTTTAGAGAAAAAAGTGATACAAAAGGTCAAACATTGTGCAGGTGAATTTATTTCCAATATTTTCTTAAGAGAGAAAAAAGATGGAAAGTTCAGATTGATTTTAAATCTGAGGAAACTTAATGCTTCTGTTGTATATCATCACTTTAAGATGACTAGTTTGCAGTCAGCCATTAATCTTATGACACCTCAGTGTTTTATGTCAACCATTGATTGGAAAGATGCTTATTATTGTATAACACGTATATATATAACACATATCTTTATTCCTCAGACTGGTGTACACAGCTCAAGCCCAGTTCTTATTTTGCTTGAGTTTGGGATACAAGGTATACTTTTATATAGAAATACTACCATCACCACTGTCTCCATATGATAGGCTTTGGACTATACACCACATACATGTATAAACCCAGTACAGCTACACATAGGGAGAAAGTTTATATAATTTTATGCATGTAGTTCTAAATCTAGTTCCATGAATTTTGATATCCCCCCATCGCAAACCAAACACGAAAGGGAAGACACCTCTGGCCACCTGTGCCAGGTCACTATTGTCCACCCACCTCGTTGGAATCTTATTTTTATCTCCCCAGATCTAGCTACCTATAACCTATATGAAAATGTATGCCAGAAAAGGCATGGGGGGGGGGGGATTGGTAAAAGAAAGGTTCTGGTTATGATACACCTTTAGGGCTCGTTTAAATTCGTGCCCCGAATTTAATGTAAGATAAAAATGCATTAAAACCATGACCATAATTTGCCAATATGCCTTATAATAATTACTGGTCAAGAAAACACCTGTCAAGTTACTCTATAAACTCAGTCATTCTGTTAATTTTTTTAATTACAGGTTATTTAAAACACTTCTCATTATTATTCAAAAATTAAGTTAAATCTTGAGATACACACATGTAAGCATACTTGAACCATAAGATAACCTTACATGTAAGATAAGTGAAGCGTCATAATGTGAGTTACAATATATATAATTACAAATAAGTTATTCTACTTTTATAGGTTCTATTTCATTTATCATTATTACTTTAATACATCCTCTAGTTCTAAATGGAAGCTTATAAAAATTGT